TACAGTTAGCCTGTTGTTTCTAGGTTCCTTACTCTCCGAACTGAAGATGTATTTTGAGCGGGGATTAGGGGGTTGTTAACTAGTCGGTGATCACCAGCTGCAGGGCTCCCATACCCTCAGGTAGTGCTCAGATAAGCTCCGTTACTGCAGCGACATCTAGTGGCCAGAGAAAGCAACGCACGTTTGCATTTTAAAGCAGTCTGTGGTTCTGTTTTGGGGAGTTGATTCTTTTTAAGTAGGCGGGACAAGGTATTAGTGTTTATTAACTCCTGTAAAATAACAGTTTGATCGCAACCGTAAGATTTCGCTTCCCGTATCTTTGGATGACATTTATGTTGTCATTCATAACTGGATGCTGATCATATATTGTGAAAACCATGCAATTGCCTCTTTCGATTTTTTTGTGTTTTTTTTACAACCATCATGACTTTGCACTTATTTGAAAGCTTTTTGTTGAAGCTCTGTGTATGCATTATGCATAAGGTTTCCATACAAGGGAAAATATGATCAAATTTACTCCCAAATACCCACTTCTAGTGTATAGCAGATTGTTGCGGTAGGTATATATTCTAGAGTAGAATGTAGTGGTGGCTAGCTTACCCCATAAGAGGTCATTGTTCTAGCTCTCAGGTGGAAAAAGGAAAGCTAAAAGTTTACAGAGAAGACTGAAACCTCCACCCTCACATTTAGATGTCAGTGAATTTCATCTGAAACCCTTTGTGATATTGTGATGTATAATAAGAAATATATACCTGGTCTTCGTCCCCATTTCTGGCATAGAGCTCCTATAATCCTTGACATTACCTAAGTGATGAGAGCAATAAAGGTGCCTTGATATTCATAACAAACCCCTTTCAACCAAGTCTGAGTTTATGTTGACGTAGCGACTTTTGGAAAGCACCTAAGGATGGGGCCTGGTTGCCAGTAATCTAGTGAGTCAACTGGTTTCCTGAGTTCTGTGAGACACTCTAGCAAATTAATTGAATCCAAGGATGGGGCTGTGGGAACCTCTAATTTATACTTCAGAAGCACGGGTGACAACCTGGACTTGACATCGGCATTTGAAGTGGGGGGATAGTCTTGTGGGACTGAGCCCTTGACCTGTGAAATCTGATGCTGTCTCCGAGTAGAGAGTGTCCGAGTTGAGTGGAATTGTAGGACACTCAGCTGCCGTTGGAGACTTACCTGGTGTAGGGAAAAAACCCACACACCGGAGTTGGTCCTAGACTCTACCCTTTCTCACTGACTGCTCCAACCCCCAGGCTCAAAGCCCTGGGTTTGAGCAGGCTTACTATGGGGAGGAAGTGAGCTCACTAAACCTTGAACTCTGCATAAGGAACACTAAATTATAAGAGGTGCCAGAAAGTGCTGGCGAGACGCCTCTGGCTCTACTATTTCAAAAAGCAATCCTCAAAGCATGGAAGCCAGTGATATAAGCCGCCTTAGTTTCATCCATCTTCTGATGGCCAACCAGCGAGAGCCCATTCTCACTCCTGACAGGAAGATAAATTCCTAGGGCCAGGATGTTAAAAAAAATGAATAAAAAGCTTGTAGTATATCATACCTCCTTCCCACTCAACCTCACCCTGGATTTTTTTTTTAAGAAGCTATCTTTTTTAGAAAGAGCATAATTATCATATGAAGAAATCAACTTTTATAAGAGTTAACCATATGAAGTTGCCCTTTGGGTATGTCAAAAAGGTAGGATGTTGGCAATGTCATACGGTTCAATGTAAAGAAAGAAGACTGAAGCTATAGGGGAGATATACAGTATTCCTGAATAAAGATAGAATATTTTACATAAATTATTCCAAGTATATAGGTTGAATATAACTCCAGTCATAATCACAAGGTAGTTCTAAAGTTCATCAGGAAGAACAAATGACTGAGAATAATCAAGGAAATGTTGAAAAGAAGAGTGGTGAGGGGGTAGATGCCCTGTCAGACACTACAAGGTATTATAAAGCTATAGGAATTGAAATAGTGTGGCTCTGGCACGAGGACAGACTGACAAAGCTGCAGCTCAGAATACACAGCCCCAAGACAGACTCTAGAACATATACAAGTATCTAGGATGTGGTAAATGTCGAAGCACGGAGTAGTGGGGAAAAGAGATTATTCCAAAAATGGTGCTTAAACAATTGGTAAACTATTTTTTTTGAAAGTCAGATGATTACCTCACATCATACCTCAGGTAAATTCTAAATAAAGTGATAAGTGTAAAAATTACAACAAAAATATTTAAAGAACTATATAAGTGAATAGTCATGTGATTGTGGGATGGGGTAGGCCTTTTACACAGAAGAGCAAAGTTAGAAACCAAAAAATAGTAATATATATATATATATTTGCATAAAAATTTTAAAATATGTATAATAACAACATAAACAGTATTAGAAGCCAACTGTCAAACTGGGAAAAATGCATGCAGTGTATGACAAAGGGTTAATATCTTTAACCTATAAAGACTTCTTACGTATTAGTAAAAAAAGCTGAATAGCCTAGAAAAATAGGCAATGGACACAGAAAATTTACAAAGAAATACAAAGGACAAATTGATATATGAAAAACACGCAATTTGCTCAAAATCAATGAAATTCAAATTAATGTGCCAGCATTTTCCAGCTATTATTAGGTTCACAAGGATTTAGAAAGTGATAGTCATTACAGTTGATGGGAGTTGAGATGGACCACCCCACTCACTGCTGGTGCAGGCGTAAACTTACAGCCTTTCTGGGGTGCAAACTTCATTAAGAGCCTTAGAATTATTTTTATCTTGTGGCCTGTATTTCTAGGAATACAGCTAAAGGGTGTCATCACAAATGTGAAAAAATACAAGAGCTTTCACTGTGGTGTTATCACACTGAAGAATTAGAAACAGCCTGAATATTAAAAAACAGAAATTGTTATTTATGGAACGATGGAGCCAGAGATTGAAGTTGTATTGCCACAAACCAAGGAATGCTTAGGGCTACCAGAAGCTGGAAGAGACAAGGAAGAATCCTCCCCCAGAGCCTTCAAAAGGGGCATGACCCTGCCAACACCTTGATATTAAACTTCTAGCCTCCGGAACTTTGAGAGAATAAATTTGTTTTTTATTTTTTTAAGTTATGGCACATCCATATGGTGGAATATATGTGATAATTAGAAAAGATGCTCTTAATACTTGATGGCCTGAGGCACTATCCATTATAAAATAAGTGAAAAAAACAGATATTAATTTTTATATATAGTAGGAATGCAGCTTTGTGAAAAATAACTTTCCATATGCATATATTATATACTTATATTTATGCACACACACATATGCATACACATATGAACATACACAGAAGTAAAACTATTAATCATCATAATGCATAGGTGTTGGGCTTATAGGTAATTATTATTTTCTTTTTTGTATTTTTCTGTATTTCCCAAATTTTCTATAATCTATGTGCATTCTTTTTTTTTTTTTTTTTTTTCCGGTACGTGGGCCTCTCACTGCTGTGGCCTCTCCAGTTGCGGAGCACAGGCTCCGGACGCGCAGGCTCAGCGGCCATGGCTCACGGGCCCAGCCGCTCCGCGGCATGTGGGATCTTCCCGGACCGCGGCACGAACCCGTGTCCCCTGCATCGGCAGGCGGACTCTCAACCACTGCGCCACCAGGGAAGCCCTCCTTATTTTTTAATTGTGGTAAAACACACATCATAAAATTGACCATTTTAACCATTTTTAAGCGTATGTACATTACTCTTAAAATGAGGAATAATGGCTTTTATAAATAGGCATGCACTAAGCAGGCTTTAAACTTGCATCTACGTTAAAATTACAATAACGTTGACAATTTAAAAAATGTGTTTGGACAAAGGACAGGAAAGGAACGCAACCCAGACAGATGAAAAGTTTGATGGATTGGAGCAGCAGAATTGGGTGTAATCGTGATGTGTATTGTTCTGAGGCAGCTTTTCTTTATAGGTTGAGATAAGTACTTGTGGGCTTTTTAGTGCTGAGGTAAGTGAGGCCTGGCCTGGCCTGGCCTGGCAAAGAAAACCACATGGGGAAGCCGGAGGCGGGGCGCGGGCACTGAGATAGCAGAGGGACAAGTTAGAGACATGGGGAAAAACAAACTCGGTGGGGACTGATCATTTAAAATTGGATTCAACTCCCCCAAATGAATATCCAAGCAGCTCTTCAGGAATACACCGATTGTATAAATCAAGATTTGCCCGGAAGAGGCCAGAGAGGCAGGCAAGCCTGTGGATGTGGAGTCTGAAGGGAGGCTGGTGGAGAGTGAGCAGGGTTCAGGGCAGATGCGAAGCCTTGCTTGATTCTGAGTCCACCGACTCCCACCCCTGCCCTGTGTGGACCTGCCTGTAACCCCCAACCTTACTTGGACTACTCTGATTTTTCTTTGATCAAAATCGGCTGATTCTAGGCTAAGCCAATTCCTCTCTTTGAGACCTCAGATATCAGGCTTTTGTCTCTGTGGTCTGTAGAGAAACTGTGAGTTTTCCTAGGTAACAATTAGGAAAATGCAGGGCCAATCCCACTAAGACACCGGCCCATTTCAAATGCAGTTACTTCCTCAGCAGGGGAATCAGGGACTACTGGCCCCTTGCTATTGATAATTCCTGGCTTATTTTGGTTCTTTCCGTCTGTTTCACTGAAGTATGGACAGGCTATGAAGGCAAGGGTGCCCTGTCCTCGCTGTGGAGGCCGCCTTGATGTAACGGGCAGTGGCAGCTATGAAGAGAGGAAAGAAAAGTGCTTTATAAAAGACCTAAAAAAGCAGAGGATGGGAATGGGGAGGCGGCTTGGGCTCGAGTCCATTGCCCTGAGGTTAGCAGCAGAAATGCCACAGAGTGAGGGTTTGCAGAGTGTTTGTATGAGCAGTCACGAGCTCCTTGGAAACCTGGCATCGCTCAGGCTTCATGTTCTTTGCTGTTGTTACCCACCCACAAACACTGCAAGCCATCCCTCCCACATACCCACAAAGCCCCCCAAACATAACTCTTCACCTGCATCTTTCTCTTCACCGTGTCGAAGGGAAAGGAGAGTGTCTGGGTCACCGCGGCAGCCAGGCAGACATTGGCGAAGTTCTGGAGGAGAGAGAACCGATCTCGGGGTCCATTCCAGATTTTCTCCAGGTTCATGTAAACTAGAAGGGAGCCGGCAGAGAAAGGGAGAGCACCTGAAAAACAAGGCCAGGGAGAGGCTGTGATGTCTCAGGAAACACTGGCTTGAGAACATAAATGCCTGTGGGGAATCCAGGGAAAGTAAACAGGACCGGCTCTGGGCTTGTTAAACAAGTCACTCCAACCGAAGCAGCAGGCACTTCTTGGGTGATGATAACGTGCTATATTTTGATACGGGTTGTGTCATTGATCAAAATGCATGCATCAAAAGATTCCCTAAATATTTGTGTACTCTATGTCGATTTTACTTTTAAAAGAGCCATAAACAAATATTGAACTCTAGTTAATGATATGCATGTTGAAGGGTTGAGGGATGAAGTGTATTGATGTTTGCAACTTACATGGAAATCATCAAAAAATATATGACTGATGAATGGTTAGAGGGACAGATAAAGCAAAACATTAATTGAAGGAGCTGGTATATGGTGGGTACATGGGTGTTTCCCATGTTTAATTTTTAATTAAAATTTTAACTTTTATTAAAAATTTAATAAAAATTAAACATGGGAATGTTTAATTTTAAAAAATTAATTTAATTTTAAATTTAGTGTTTTTTTAAAATTAATTAATTAATTAATTATCGGCTGTGTTGGGTCTTTGTTGCTACTCGCGGGCTTTTCCCTAGTTGCGGCGAACGGGGGCTACTCTTTGTTGCGGTGCATGGGCTTCTCATTGCGGTGGCTTCCTTTGTTGCGGAGCACGGGCTCTAGGCACGTAGGCTTCAGTAGTTGTGGCTCGCGGGCTCTAGAGTGCAGGCTCAGTAGCTGTGGCGCACGGGCTTAGTTGCTCCGTGGCATGTGGGATCTACCCGGACCAGGGCTCGAATCCGTGTCCCCTGCATTGGCAGGCGGATTCTCAACCACTCAGCCACCGGGAAGCCCCTCCAATTCTTTTTTTAAAAATTTATTTTATTGGAGTATAGTTGATTTACAATGTTGTGGGAGTTTCTGCTGTACAGCAAAGTGATTCAGTGATACATATATATTCTTTTTCATATTCATTTCCATTATGGTTTTTTACAGGATATTGAATATAGTTCCCTGTGCTATACAATAGGAACTTGTTGTTTATCCAGGCTGTTTCCAATTCTCTTAACTTTTCTGGGTGTTTGAATTTAAAAAAATAGAGTGTTGGGGAAAAAATTCACTCCCATGAAAAAAAAAGTTAGTGGGCAGTACTTAATCAAGTTTTGGAGACTAGGGGGGACCTGATCTCTAGCTGAGAAGGAAACATTCTGTGAAACCTGAAGAGTGAGGTAGTATGAGATGTGGCCATATCAGGACTCAGTGGGTACCCTGCACTGTATGGCAGCCTCACCTTTCTAGGAAAAGATGGTGAGCAAGTAGTGCAGTAGTTGGCACCTTGAAACTTACAGAAACTTTGGGAGCAATCTGAAGTTTACGCAGGGACTAAATTTCTCCCTCAAAATGAGATTTAAAAGAGGGGCTAACACTAGTCGGGTTGCTCATCTTTAGAAAAATGTAATATTTATTTAATAAACACATTAAAAATGACGCACCAACCCCACATTTTCCTTCATTCAGAAAACATCTGTGGAGCTTATGCTATGTGATGGGCCCTATGCCAGGTGCCAGGAATATACAGAGGTGTAAGTAGGCTAATTCCTGGAGATGCTCACCATCTAGTGGGAGAGACAGGCCGATGACATATGCCATAGTAAGGGGGCTATACAAAATGCTTTAGGTACACAAGGATCAGAGGGATTAATTTTGCCTGGGGGAATCAAGAAGGACTTCAAAGAAGAGAGAACTTTTCAACTGGGTGTTGAGGAATGAGTAGGAGTTCATCAGACATTGGGAGAGCAGGCAGAGGGAACAGCATGTACAAAGAGAGTGGTGTTTCCAAGAAATGCAAGTATTTCTAGATGGCCAAAGCAGGAGTGCAGGTAGAACGTGACAGGAGATGAGGTAGGAGGGGCTGGCAGGGCCAGGTCTGAAGGATCTAGTATGCCACAAGGAATCTGGGCTTTTCCCTGTAGCTCACAGGAGTCAGTGAAGGCTTTTAAGGAGGGCAGTGGAAAGAGGTTGGTGAAATGATCAACTTGCACTTAGAAAGATCATCACACCCTGGCAGCAGGGCACAGGGCGGACTAGGGCAGCAGAGACCCAAGACTGGGACTAGGAAGGAGCCTCTCATAAGTGTCTGCAGGAAAGATGATGATGAGAGTGTGACCTATGGCAGAGAAGGTGGGGATGGAGAAGGGGGCAGACTTGAGAGTTAAAAGAGGTGAAACTGACAACACTTGTGGCTGAAGTGGGAGTGGAGTGAGAGGAGGAGTTGAAGTTGAAGTGCTTCTAGGTTTCTTCTGGCTTGGGCCACTGGATGAAAGAAAGGCGGTCTCGTTCATTAGGGAACACAGGAGGGGGGCAGGTGTGCAACTAACGAGGCCATCAGGTTTACTCTTGACTTCAGTAAGCCAAGGGAGCATCAGGTGAGGGTGTCCAATAGCAGGCGTTTGTACTGCCATTGGGAAGTGGTAGTAGTCAGTGGTTAAGAGAGAGGGCTCTGGGGTTATATTGCTAGATTCTTCCACTTTCTATCTGTGACCTTGGGCAAGTCACTTAGCTTCCCCAAGCATCTATTTCATCTGTAAAATGAGGCTTAAATGAGGAACTGTACGCAAACCATTTAGCACAGTGCCTGGCACATAGTAAACTGCAATAGATGTTAGTCGTTGTTATTATAGAGATGAGATTGGGAGTCATTAGAGTATAATGATGCTTGTTCAAGCCACTAGTTTAGATGAGGCCACCCAGGGAGGGTATGGAGGGTGAGAAGAAAGCTAAGGCAGGAGCTGGGGGATAGTGACACACAGGGGGCTGGCATCGTCAGATGAGCCAGATAAGAAAGAGCTGCAGAGAGGTGGGAAAGACATCTAGGAGACAGTGGGGTCCTAGAAGCCAAGTTTCCAGAATAGAGTGATCGATCTCATCAAATGCTGCAACAAAGGTCAGATAAAAGGCAAAAGTCCACTGGACTGGCAATTGGGGGTCCTAGTGACCCGTAGCCCTGGCAAAGGTTCCAAAGAACACAGAAGCTACAGTTGCTACCCTGGTTGTGTTCACACGTGTACCGATGCATGCAGAGACTCTTTCCTGCAGTCAGATGGGGAGTGTGTGGGACTGTCTTCTTATCAATTTGTGCTGAGACACATGCACTCTGTCCTACTCCCTCCCTGGGATATAACAGACCAGAGTTAGGAGTGGGGTATATGGCTATGGAATAGAATGAAGCTAATGGACTCTGTGTGGATTGAATCCATATGACCTTGAACTCAGTTAAATGGATTTAACTGGTTACAAACAAAGGTATACAATACACTCATATATATATATATATCCCTTGAACTCAGTAAAATGGATTTAACTGGTTACCAACAAAGGTATACAAGTCATTTGCATGTATCAAAGAACACAGTCTTTTCTTGGACAAGGTGAAAAGTTCCATCTTACCTAAAATAGTAAGGGAAACCCCTCGATAAAGGGCCAGGAACCCTTCCTGTTGATAAATAGTAGAAAAAGCATGGAGGATCCCCCTGTAAGATGGTTCCAGCATGTTCTGCACAATTAACCGGGTTTTGATGAGGTCTGTAGGATATGTCACGATGGTGGAAACCATGCCCGCAAGACTCCCAGCCATGATGGACCTCCACTGGGAGATGTGGCCCAGGTCATCCGTGAACAGCACAACAAACCTGGGAGAAAATAGGGAGAAAAGCCCAAGGGAATCAGCCACGGATTGTGCTAGAGTGCTCGATGCTACTTATTGCACCATTTCCCTGCATTTGGAAATGCTTTACAAAATGAAGATTACTAATGTATTAGGATTAATGAATAACACATTCAATTCTACACATTCAATTATGCTCATAGTAATGAATATAATTCTAGTTATATAAAATTAGCTGTTATAGTTTATATAACATCTATAAGGAAGAGATACCTAACCGTCTTATTTCTATCTACCCTAAGTCCTCACTTCATTTCAAGCATTTCCCCCTTTTATCTGCATAACTGTCAACCCTGGCTTGCCTGTGGGGTGTAAATGAACAGAAATACTTGGTAAATACGGAACTGGAATGTGCTCCTTTGATTCTGTTGCAACGTAAATGAAATTGCTTGAAACGATGACTTTGAGCATCCCTAGTCGTTGAGTTTTAAAAAATATATTGGTTTAATAATTATAAGAGAAGATGTGCCACCCCACCAACGGTCAGGGAAATAACAAATAAGAACAATAACACAATACCACTTCTCAACCAGCAGACTGGCAAAGATTAAAAAGTCTGATAATATCAAGTGATGGTGAGAAAGTGTGGAAACAGGAATGCTCACCCACTGCTGTGAGAAGTGTAAATTGGTAGGTCACTTTGCAGTATCTAGTAAAATTGGAAAAATGCCTACTTTCACCCCAGCAATTCCATTTCTAGGTGCATATCCTAGAGAAACTCTTGCACGGGTACATATGAAGACACATACAGCGTTGTTTGTAAGTGAAATCGAACCATCTAAATGTCTATCTGTAGGGGAATGGATAAATTGTAGAACAGCGATACAATGATACTTTAGTTAAAATGAATGTGCTTAGAACTATGTATTTACACGGATAAATAGTAAAAGCATAAAGCTGAGTGAAAATAGCAAGTTGTAGAGTGACCTATGGTGTATGATAACCATTTGCAGCCATCTCTGTATATCCACAGGCTTCAGGACCCCCTACGGATACCAAAATCTGCAGGTGCTCAAGTCGCTCATATAAAATGGTATACTATTTGTCCTCTCGTATACTTTAAATCATCTCTAGATTACTTATAATTCCTCGTACAATGTAAATGCTATGTAAATAGTTGCTGGAGTGTGGCAAATTCAAGTTTTGCTGTTTGGAACTTTCTGGAATTTTTTCCCCCAAGTATTTCCAATCTGTGGTTGGTTGAATCCATGGATGCAGAACCCGAAGATACAGAGGGCTGACTACACTTAAATTAAGAAACACATCCACAAAACCATATATTACACCAATCATGGATAGATATAGATACATATAAAAAAGTATAAAATAGACCCCCAGGAAGGTGGAGAGTGGATGGGACTGGGAATCAGAATGAAGGGGACTTCAGCTTTATCTGTAATATTTTATTTCTTGTGTAAAAAAAAGATACTTGAAGTATCTTTTAAACTAATTATCTTTCATGCTGTCAATTCTGCATGGTGGGTATATGAATGTTTGCTAGACTATTCTTTGTGTTTCTCTGCAGTTTCACAATTTAGTAAAGAAATGGCTTTGGGTGGACTTTTCTAAATGCAGAATAGAAAGCCACTCTGTTACAATCCCTCTTTCTGGAAGCAGTGCATCCCCAGGCATGAGGGCCTACCTCGGCAGAAATTGTTCTAAGGGGCCTTTTACATGGGGCACGTTCCCTGGCCAGGAAGCAAAGGAATTTTACTCATTCTTGCTGATGAGGACAAAATTTTAAAAAGGGCTTGGAAACCAGGAAAAATAATATTTTCTGTCGGAGGGTGGGGAGGGGGAGAGGGAGAGGGATAGCAAGGATCTGAATAAAAAGAAAGTGAACAGAGCTAGGCTAAAATAAAAGCATTGTATCTTTTTAAAAATGAGAGCATCCCCAGTTCTTTGGCTTTCCAAGCTCCAGTGAAGTTGTGTATTTCCTGCTTTTTCACTTTGGCAGCAGGCCAGGGCCCCCTCTCTGATAAACAAGAGGAGCCAGAGTTCAGGTGAAACCACTGAAGGGGTTCTAGGACCGCTCCTTTGCTCCCAAGTAAACACTGGTCGATTAAAAACATCTCCTTCAAGCTGTAGGAAAGTCTGGACTTCATTCTGTCACCCTACCTTAACTGTACCAGCTGAAACAGTCATTTGAGTGAACCAGCAACCTTTTAAAGATGCAGGTAACTAAGCTGGCATTCACCAGTGGGCCTTCCGTCTGCCTCGGTTTCGCTGCCTGCACACTCCCTCGATCCTCCCTCCTCCCTCCCCTGGCCAATAAGTGGCAGCGGAACCTTAGCCAGGGGAGGGGAGACAGGAAGTGGAAATGCTTGGCTGGAGGGGTGGTCTGCAGCAAGCGGGAACCATCTAGAAGAAGCAGGAGTTTGAATGCCAAAAGAAACACCATTCATTCTCATTGCCTCCTCCTTATTCCCCATCCCGCTCGCCACTCCCAGGGCGTTAATGCATCCATTCCCCAGTCACCGAACATCCACACTGTGCCAGACACTGCGCTAGCATTCAGCATAGATCTTAAGAGAGTTCAACAGCCCTGCCAAAGAGATGACTGATAGGGGCAACAAGAGAGGCATTCGGCCCTTGGTTCTCTGAATGACTTGATGAACGAGGACGAGGAGTTCTGTCTTCTATGAGTTTGTTTTATAATGTAGGGTCTTGCTATCAAATATACAAAATTAAAAAGAAGAACCAAAGCAAGTCCTTCCTCTCAGACTTTTACTATACGGAGACAAAGACTACAAATCGTTCCTCTTACAATCAGAGTCAAGGCAGGGCACCCCTGATAGGCCATCGATTACATCATCCTGGTCCCCACATCTTAAGTGCTTGTCTGACTGGGTGGGGCAGCAGCGTTCCCCTTTCTGCTCTTTCTCCCACTCCTACACACTGCACAGCAGCTTGTTCCAGCGAAACTGGATAAGCTGGTGAGCAGCAGTAACCCCTTCCTTTCAGGCACATGGATATTACACACACCCTGGATGTATGTAGGTAGAACTGCCAACACTTCAACCTAACACAAGTTAGCAGGCAAACACAAGCTCATGAATCGATTACACAATAAGGAAATTGTGTTGGTTATGAGCAATTTCAGAGTTTCAGGGACCCAAACCAATGTTTATACAGCTACACAAACAGTTGTGGCATAAAGTTGGGTGAGGGTCTACTATTTGATATATTTGAAAGCCATCCATAGTGTTAGGTTTTACTTGTTTAGCACAAGGACCTAGCTCCTAATAGACTCTACTGAGTGGATTCTTTTAACTGTAAATCCAAGTAAGGAGACACTTCAGCATCACAATGTTGGGCCGAGCCCTGCACTAAGGAGCTAGAAGACCTGGTTTCAAGCTCCAGCTCTGCCATTAATTGTGTTTGTGGACAAGTCACTGAACCACTCCATTTTCTGAACATTCTGGAGGTTTATGCTTAGTTCAAACCCATAATCATAGGCTGTACCATTACCCCCAACCAACCGTTTTGCAAATTCCTGGTCAGGAGGGTAGAGATAAATCAGTATAATGATGGCCCCAAGGTCTTGTCTTTACGTAGGAAGGCTGGCACCATGATTAATCAACCACTTTGCTGTCTATCACTGAAATATTTCTTTTGAATTTCCAGAAAGAAACTAATCTTGCAGGAAAAAATTATTAGCAAACCTCGCCTGGGTAACTGTTCTTCCTCTCCCACACATCTCCTCTTCTCCACTCTCACTGTCAGGTGCCCTCAGCCGCCACATGGACCAGTGCGACGGGTGGTCCTGCCACCCCCCACCCTTCCTCCTCTTTAGCCGTCCTCCACTGCTACCAGGTGACAATTCCTGCTGAATTGCTTTAATCACAGCACTCCCCCATCAAAAATCCCCCACAGCTACCCTTGCATTCCAAGTAAAGTCCAAACTCCTTAATCTGGCCCTCCAAGATCTCATTCCAACCTGCTTTTCTGGCTGTATTTCCCATTACAGCCAGAGACACACCTTATGCTCCAGTCACGCTGCATGCCTTCCCACCTCTGTGCCTTTGCTTGTGGCATTATCTGCAGTATCTTTCTCCCCATCTTTGACGGAAAACTCCTACTCATTCTCCCAACACCAAACTCCGATGGTTTTTCTCCACTGTGACATCTTCACATCTTCTCCTCCTCCTCCGTCATCAGAGGTGTGAATTGCTATAGCACTTTAACCTTAGCAATCACATGCTATGGACACACTAGTCTTATTCTTTTGCTCTGTAAGCTCTGGGGCACAGGGACCATGCCCCTTTCATCTTGCGTTGTCCCCAGCATCATGCACACCGTGGTCACTTAATGAAGGCAGAGAGAAAGGCAGCAGGAAGTAACAGGGCATGGGCATTGGAGTCAGAAGGCCAGGTGGTGGAGCTCAGCTCTGTCACTGACGAGTGGTGTGGCCAATCTGAGCCCAACTGTGCATCTGGAAAGTGGGCATAATACTTCGTGCCCTGTGGACCTTACAGGGCAGGAGGCAAGTGTTGTAAAAATCCAACAATTTACACACACACACACACACACACACACACACAGGAAATGGTAACTAGGTAGAGGTGATGGATACGTTAATTAGCTTGATTGTGGTGATCATTTCACAATGTATACATATATCAAAACATCAAGTTGTACACCTTAAACATATAATTTTTATGTCGATGATATCTCAGTAAAGCTGTTAAAAATCCAATGAGATGAAGTCAGCCCTCCGTATCTGTGGGTTCCACAACTAACTGCGGATTGAAAATATTCAGAAAAAAAAATTCCAGAAAGTTCCAAAAAGCAAAATTTGAATTTGCTGCACATCAGCAACTATTTGCATAGCATTTACATTGTATTTACAGCGATTTACACAGTACTTACATTGTATTAGGTATTATAAGCAATCTAGAGATGATTTAACGTGTACAGGACGACTGTATAGGTTACATGCAAATACTACTCCATTTCCTGTAAGAGACTTGAGCATCTGGGGATTTTGGTTGGGGGGCCGTGTCCTGGAACCAATGCCCTTCCGGATACGGAGGGATGACTGTATATATTCTAGATGGTTAGCAGCAAAGCCACAGTACTTAAACCAGCCTTTGAAGTTCTGCTTCCCTCCCCTTGGTACACATTCCAAAGGAGGAGTTCCATACTTTGTGGAGAGCAGAGTGAAGTGGGGAGAAACTGAGTCATTAAAATTCAGAGGAGAACTGTTTACAGACTGCAAGCCAGATGTTGCTGAGGGAAAGGGGGCTGGGGAAGAAAGAGAGCCTTGACAGAAATGCCCCACGATCTCACTACCCTCCCTTCCTAGAGAAAGAGAAGGCAACTCTATTCCCAGGCACAGGTGAAATGTGCACTGGCCTCGAGGACTCAGTGATAAGGAAGATTCCATCGGGCTTGTTTGTCAGCTGTCAGGTGAGACTGTCAGCTCTGGCCTCCCAGAGCCAAAGGCAAAATGCTTTGACTGTTAGCCTCCAAGGCCGACCTACGTGGTCAAGACTGTGGGCTGTGTTTCTCTAATTCTGAGCCAAGGCCAGTCTTCCGAGTTGGCAGTGTGCCCAGCGAAGGAGGAACACGGGGAACATCCCCCCAGCTGCAGAACTACCTGAAATTGCATCATTATCGCTTTATTCTTTTAGACTTTGTTTCCAGTTAAAATGCAGGTATCTCTGAGCTCTTGAGGGAGCTTTAAGAGTCATCTGGCATTACCTCTTTAGATGTTTTCCTAAAATGCAGCTGTTTTGGGGGGAGGTGTTAAAAGCCCAAAGAAGGAGTCCAGGGAGCAGCGAGGTTGGAGCTGCTTGCAGTTTGGGGAGGGGAAGCTGCAGCCTCTGTAGGACCCTAAAGTCCAGTTTCTTGGGGGGTGGGGAGCGCCGAACTCCGTGGCCTTTTTGTCGCAGTGGATTGGGCCCTGTGCCCCTACCAAGCACGTTCTTCTGGGGGCTCTGACACACTTCCATACACGCATCTTCAAAAGGGTCTCTCTCCCAAGCCAGCCAAAGCAAAATTTCCAAGCTGGCGGATGGTGGGAAGGATTAGGGGCCATCTCTCCGGAGATCTCTTCACTCCTTCCCTCCAAATCTCCTTTGGCCCCCTTCCACCTCCTCGCCCGACCAACCCGGTCAGCCTCTCTGGGCCAGAGCTGCGTCCCCACAAAACTGCACCCGGCGGGGCAGGAATCCCAAGAAAAGGTGAAAAGGAAAAGGTGGGGACTGCGCTTTGGAGGCCGGAGAGGTTGCCTTCTGGCCCGAGGGGCTCCCACGCGCTCCGGAAGGGGGCTGTGGCGCGCCGCTGGCCGGATCCCGGGCACCCGGGCGGCGTCGGGCCGCGGGACCCCCGGCGGCGGCCTCCCGGGCCCCGGGCCCCGCCCACGCCGCCCGTGCCCGGCTCTTACTTGCGGTAGGCGGCCAGTTGAACGGCGCTGCAGGGGAAGAGGCGCAGGCAGGCCACCGCGTTCCCCTTCCACAGGGCGCGGGGCCCCTCGGCCCGCCAGACGCAAAGCCCCGCGCCCCACGGCCCCCGGGCGCGGCCGCGCACGACGCCGACCTGGGCCAGCACGGTGGCGAGCTCCAGCGGCGCGGTGAGGCTGAGGCTGAGCGTCCCCGCCAACCCCGCGCACAACAGCCGCTGGCTGCCCGTCAGCCGGCCGTCCCGCCGCCAAGTCGCCATCGCGCGTCCCCGACCCGAGCCCCGGGCGGCCAGCAGATCGCTTGGCTCGGGCCTCGGGCTCCCGGGCTCCGGTGCGGGGGGCGGGCCAGGCTCCGCCCGGCGTAGGGCGGACCCGCGGCCCGGAAGGGAAGCCGGTCCGCGCCCCGGCCGAGCCGGCCCGGGGCCGGGGCGGGGTTGAGGATGCCAGCTCGGGGCTGAGGCCGCGCCGGTTTAATGTCTGCTCTTCGGCCGGTAGGTTTCTGTTTGCAGTTGAGAAGGAGTCACCGCGTTTTCTCAAGGCCTAGCCCGCTCCACTTCTTGCGTCCTGAATATTCAGTGCCCCCTCCACCGCCTTTTTTCCTTTCCACGTTCCACCTCGCCCCCTTCCTCCCCTCGCCTCTGTTCTTATCCCTCCAACCTTTTTTTCTGCCCCAGGAAAAAGCCTTACGGATTTCCCAGTGCAGAAGGAAAAAAACCTTCTTTAACATACACACGATATCAGACACTTGAATTAGGCTTTTCATACATTTACTCCTTTAATCCTCAAAACAGCCCTTAGTAGGTGTGTCCTCATTTATTGCTCTCAGTTGGAGAGGCTGTAGGTGTGGTGGTTAGGGCCTGGACTCCAACATGCGTTAGAATCTTGGCTCTGCAGTTTACCAGCTGTGTGACCTTGAGGAAGTCACTCAACCTCTCTGTGCCACAGTTGCTTCATCTATAATTTCTTCCTCTAGGGGTTGTTGTAAGTATTAAATGAAAAATGATGCAGGTAACACTACAGATGTGCTAGCCATGATTAGATGTTATTTTACAGAAGAGGAGACCAAGACAGAGAGATTGACTTGCTCTAGGCACAGCTGCTAGACGCCATCAGGATTCAAATCTAGGTCGATTTTATGCCAACATCCACTACCAGCTACACTAACACGTCCACGGCGACTGTAGAGTGTCTCTCAACCATTTTCAGTGGTTCTGCGAGCTAAGGGGACAACAGAGGCAAAGAAGGGTTAGGAGTGACTTGGCCAGAGTCTAAGAAGGATTTTGATAAGTTAAAAAATTCCAAACTTCTCCCTGTTTTCTCTACTTAAAAAGCCATATCAGTAATAATAGTGAAAAGGCAGTCTAGCAGTCCATTAGTAGAAGACATCCCAGGTACACAGTTGCTTTTAGGCTTGTATAGTTACTTTCTACATTTACTAACACACATGATGATAAAGGATCCTTTTCTAAACGGCATTGCAGGGTCTAGATCAAGAGGACTTGTTCTACCTATTTATGAAACAAACAGGCAGAGAATATGCTTGTGGTTGCCAAGGGGTATGGGGAGTGGGGGAGGGATGGGTTTGGGAGACTGGGATTGGCAGATGCAAACTGGTATATATAGAATGGATAAACAATAAGTTCCTACTGTACAGCACAGGGAACTATATTCAGTATCCTGTGATAAACCATATGGAAAAGAATATGAAAAAGAATGTATATATGTATATAACTGAATCACTGTGCTGTATAGCAGAAATGAACACAACATTGTAAACCAACTATACTTCAATAAAATAAAAAAGAAATGGAAAAAGAGGACTTGTTCTAGTTATAGAAGCCTTGCTCTGCTCTCAACCACTGGGGATGCTTATTTTTCTTGTTTTGTGAATTCGCCTGTCTTGCTGTAAGCTAATTTCATGGCTGTGGGAGGTTGGAGAAAGTAGGTTGATGACTCTAAAGACCACTGCACCACCAGGGAAGCCCGACACTGGACTTTAAGAGGGTTCGAATTAGAATGTGGGGACTACAGTAAGGGAACCTTCAGTTACCAGTTCTGTCCTAAAGCACTCTGTTGGACAACAGGACTAGATCCTAAAGGTCCTTCAGGGACCTCTGCCCTGGGAATGGAACAGTTGATGCAATAACCCCATTGTATGGAGATTGGCTCAACTGGGTTGTATTGGTTTTGTTTGGTTTGAAGGCAACTTGTGTAAGCCTTCAATTGCATCCACCTTGGGAACCAGGTATACCCTTTTCTTTAGCACTGCTGTTCTTTTTGTCTTCAGCAGGAATAAGATGTTCAAGTGAGCCAGAGGCAGGAAGAACCAGTTTAGTCTTCACAGCTGTGGGCCAGGAGAGATCGTGAGTTGATGGTATATTTTAACCTCGAAAGTAATTTTTCACAACAGGAACCTTGCACAGTAAAATGAGTAACAGCAAAGTATTTATTTGCTGCCTTCTGTCTTTTCATGATAATGTGCTAACGTAACGAGGTTTGTTCATATTTTACTCAGCCAGAGTCTCATTCATTTCCTAAGCATTGGGAATATTATGTAGATTGATCTTAAACATAAATCAGTCCTTGAGGGTGTCCTATATTTGGATTGTGATTTGTAGACTCAAGCTAATCTCATTGCCTCTTTTTCATACTTGTTGAAAAGTCTGTGAAGGACACAGTAAGTTAAGGATCTCCAACTTTGGAAAAGGCACACGATGTGAAACTGGACTGCTGTGTTAAAAATAAATTTATGATAACTAAAAAAAAGAAAACAGAAAAACAGGAAAGAGGCAGTAGGTAAAGTAATCTTAGAAGTAGTATTGTAATATGAGGAAAAAGGGTGGCTGGCTGATTCAGGCCAGTAGGCAGCCTCCTGTCGTCCTCATCAGGCCTTGGGAGATGCTCACAGTTTTTGATTCTCCAGCTCTCACTTTTTGCTTCTCTTCTCACTGAGTTAAATCTTCTGTTAGTACATTACCTTAGTTTAACTTGCTGATGTTTCTAAGATTATAGTTTATCTTGCTATATTTATGCCAATGTTGGTTGATTCCTGCTCTCTTAATTTGTATTTTATTCTTTAACCTTACGGAATTTTGTAAATTGCAAAAGTAGAATATACCTGTCATACCAAGAAAAACAGTATAGAAGTGTATTAAAGAAAATTAAGTCCCCCTGCGCATCCTCTGAGGTAACGTTAGAGCAACCAACCTTAAGAGCTTCGTGTGTGTGTGTGTGTGTGTGTGTGTGTGCGCCTACATCTTTCCTGCAGTCAAATGCTCTTCCACTGAACTATACCCCGTCTGCTGTGTGCACCTTTCCTCATCTTTTTTTTTAATGCTCAGACAAATATTCATTTGTATGGATTTTCCCCCTCTCTCCCTCCCTTCGTCTCTTCTAAAGAAAAAAGATAATTCCATTGGAAGGATATAAAAAAAAACCCTGATAATCAGATTATCTCTAGGGGAGAAAACTGGGAGAGGTAGGAACAGAGGTGGAAGGGAGATTGACTTTTGACCGTGTGCCCTTTTGTACTGTTTGCTTTTTCCCCTCTTTTCTTTTTACCACGGGTATGTATTATCCATTAAAAAAAAAAATCTCTCCGCCATCATCAATTTTCCCTGAAACATTCCCATTAGCTGCAGTGTTTCTGGTGATATTTGCCTTGCCATGAGGGAGGTGTTGGTTTTGAAATGTTGAACAACTCTTGGTGCAGTTCTGAATGAAACAAAATACAGTCTGCTTTCTATTTACATGGTAATTGCATTCTTGGGAAATTCTGTGTACATAAACACTGTGAGAAAAATGTTTTGTATTTTAGAGTTAAGCAGAGTTAAGTTTTCAGTTCTGATAATTAGAAACAGCTTTTCCACCTACATGGATGCCTGGTGGGATCTTTGAAAGCCATGAAGGATGCAGGACAGTCTGGTGCATTGCAGATATGCAACATCCTTGCCCTGCCCATTAAATGCCAGTAGGGTACCCCAATCACTCTGGCTCCCCTCTCCCCAGTGTCCAAAATGCCCTCTAGGAGACAGTGCCATTCCTTTTGAGAACCACTGTTCTAGCTGCTGTCTCTGGAAATTTCTTTCCTCAGATATTTGCAGAGCTGGTTCCTTGTTATCTCCTGTTAGAGGGCTCGCCTGACCACCCAGTCTACACAGCCCCCATTCACTCTGCCACATCTTCCCATTGCAATTCTCTGTATAGCATTTATCCCTAACTGCTCTTTTTCTTTTCTTGGTTTATTGTCTGTTTCCAGCTACCAGAACGTAAGCTCCATGAGGGAAGGGATGTTGTCTCTTGTTCACAGCTGTGTCCCCTGTGCCTGGAACACTGGCTGCCACATAGTTAGTGCTCAGTAAACATTAGTTAGATGAATGAAGGATGGAAGGAAGGAAGGAAGAAAGAAAGGAAAGAAGGAAGGAAATCTTCTTCAGTTCTACAAATTGGAAAAGATTAGCAGAACATAATGTCTTCACGAAATTATTTATTTAGGTCAAAATTATTTATTTAGGTCATATATAATTATTTATTTAGGTCATATATGATAAATAGCAAAAGATTAACTGGATTCACAAGATGGGTAGATTTATCGATTCCCGGTGAATAATATAAGCTTTGTCAGAAATTGGATGCTTGCCATTTTAAATTTCCAGCCACACCTGTAATTCTAAAGTGAACTGTGATACTTGACAGAGACTCCTTGTCCCCAGTCATCATTTTCACCATGTCTTGAGCAGCAGTTTTGGCAAGTGTGTCAACAATGACTTCAGCAGCTCTGACCTTTACAGTTAAATATAACACTATAAAGTGTGGCTTCCATAGCTTTTGCATTTCTCTCCCTTGGCACACTGTATTTAACTTCAAGCAATGCTTGAATTTCCTTCCATTCTGCTTCAAAATTTTTGATGATGTTGAGGCAGGAAGGGTTCATATCAAAATGTGTGAGCCTTTTCCTTCTCTCATTCTCTCACTCATTTATTCATTCCACAAATGTTTATTGAATACTTACTCTGTATCAGGAACTATGCTGGGGATACATATTTCACATAATGGAATTTAATTTGCTCCCATTATCAGGCTATGGTAATCCAAATTTCAATGGTTTTTTATGGTAGCCACCTAATACTTTTACTTTCTTTGCAGCTGGTATTTTTAAAGCACTAAGAGATGGTCCAGGTGATGAAATGATACACCTTTAATATCTATCTGAAGACCTAGGGCTAAACTCATCACATTTTTTTTTTATTTTGGCCACATGGCATGTGGGGTCTTAGTTCCCTGACCAGGGATCGAACCCGTGCCCCCTGCAGTGGAAGCGTGGAGCCCTAACCACTGGACTTC